ACCGGTACGTGACAGTTAACTGCATAACATGACACTTCCAGAATAGGATTCAGATGAAAATGCCTCCCCCTGAAGAACATATATACTTGACCACAAGTATGCCGACGTGGAACCATGCTTTGATGGTGCTTGCAAAGAAGTTGGGGAACACCCGTTCATGAAGTTTGCATCTTTCCAGGTGGCTTCTTCCGGTTTGAGATTTTCCCACTCCACTAGCCACTGAGTAACAAGAACTCCATTACTTCGGAGAGATTTTGTTTTCGAGTTATAGCAAACTTTCACCTTTGTATTTCATGTTCCGCTAAAAAAGAAGAAACAACTCAGTTTCGTTCATTTTCGTTTTGCCTTCCAGTCCCTACCTATGTCCTTACATTTTCACTGCTATGTTATCAAAAGAAAGATTCCCTGCCACCGAGGACAAGGACAGTGCCAGTGACACACAAGCTTGTGCTTCGTAGGCATCACCCGATCGGACTTTTCCCATTACCATTTTGAGTGACAGTCGACCGGTTGCTGCTGCATGCCAGATCCAGCAAACCAAATTAATCCCGAGTGACCCGTTTTTGCACGATGGAGGAGCGACCCGTGACCGTGACTGTGTAGAGCAAAGATGCAAACTCAGTGACCCCTTTTTGCAACATTGAAATACGCGTACAGCACTGATGATCACAGAAGGAATTATGTGCACCGAGTAGAACCAGGCTATACATATTACAGTATTCCAGAGTGAATTTATTCCACGGTGCTAACAGATAAAGCGGGGGGTTATATATTGATCGATACGGGACACACAAACTTGCAAGAACACAGAGGGCCGGATGCATGTGTTCTACAACTACAAGGTCACTGTGCAACGCGCACGTATACGTACGTACGCGCATATATGCACCTTCCTTTTGCTCACCATGCAGGGACCATGTTTATTTACGAGCAATTTAATTACTATATATGCACGTAGGCGTGCAGAGCAACGGCATGCACGTAGAGTTCGACGCAGGGTAGGCACTGGGCAGCAGTACTGCCTACCGTACGCACGTGTGCATGGCTACATTTCGTCTCGATCGTGTGCTCAGTTGTGGACCTCCGCCGGCGCCCGGTACATGGGCTCCGGAACCTCGTCCGCGCGCGCACAGCAGCGGCAGCCAGGGTGATGGAACAGCCCGTGGCCGCAGCAGCCCCAGTGACATCCGCCGCCGCCGTAGCCTCCGCCGCCTTTTCCACCGTGTCCAGGGTAGCCGCCACCGCCGCCGTAGCCTCCTCCGCCGCCTGGGTAGCCTCCGCCGCCGCCGTAACCTCCACCGCCTTCCCCACCGTGGCCAGGGTAGCCGCCACCGCCGCCGTAACCTCCACCGCCTTTCCCACCGTGGCCAGGGTAGCCGTAGCCTCCGCCGCCGCCTCCTCCGTAGCCTCCGCCTCCGCCGTAACCTCCTCCGCCTCCGCCATAGCCTCCCCCGCCGCCTCCGTGCCCGTGGTGGCCTCCGCCAAAGTGGAAGAAGTTCTCTACGCCCGCTCCATTCTCTTCCTTCTTGGCCTCTGCACGAACAGAAAAAGAAGGTGCATGGAAATTAGCAGCAGAACGCAGCAAAGCAAGTTTTTTCCTAGCCTAATGACGAGAGCAATTAATTTAACTCCTGCCAGTTCAAAACTAGTCCGAGGAGTTAGTGCATTAGCTCACCAGTGTGTTCATCAGTCGAGGCGACGAGGATAGCAGCAGCTGCAAGCAGGAGAGCGAACACAAGAAGACCCTTGCTGGATGCCATGCCTGGCATCCGTGATCCGTGCCTCACTGCCTCTTCTTCAGTGGTCGTAGTGGCTACTGGCTGGCCAGTGTGATGGATGAGAATGAGATAGAGATTAGCATGCAGAGCAGGCGAATTTATAGGAGGGAGAGGCCCATGGAGGGCTTGGATACGATACGATAGCTCGGGATCACGAGGAGCTGTGAGCCTGTGACTGTGGGCGAGCTGAGGTTGGGTCCCCATGGCCATGGCGTCGTCATCGGCCCGTGGAGAGGTGGTGGGTGGGAGAAGGACGGCACGCATTAATGATCGATCCCAGCAATGTAGCATGGAAGTAGCTAAGCTCCAATGGCGTCGTCCGCGGGAGCACCAATGGCGCCAGCCTCCCCTCTGACGCCGAGCATATTCTGGATCGGATGTCTTCTTCTGCATGTGCAGTGCGCACTGCGGATGCAGGGTGGGTGCTGCTCGCGCGACGCCAAGATAAAGTTTGCATCCACACGCACCAATCTCATTAATCAGTCCCGGTAGAAGTTACACACGGGCGCATGTGTATCCAAATCGGCCGAGCGGATTCTGGATCGGATAGCGTCTTCTTCATCTGGAAAACCGGACGTGGAGCATTGCTGAACGTTCCCACGTAAGCTATCTTCGCTTAGAGCATCTCCAACAAAACTCCCAGTAAAAATGGTTTTACGAGATGCCCATAACTTAGGGAAATGAGGTGATTTCTCAATACATATTCCCCCTAAATTAAAGTGATATTTTTGCAACAGTGGCGCCGGACAACGGGCGCCGGTGGTGGTCGGCGGCAGCGGCGGCTCAATGGGTATGGAGATGACGCGCTGACATGACACTTTTACGGGAAGGGCCTCTTCCCCTAAATGTACAAGAAATTGGACAGATTATACGAAATCCCGTAAAAACATGTTTACGGAATCTGTTGGAGCACTTTTTTTATGGGAAATGCTTTTGGTCTATTCATAATTAATCATGGCAGCATAGAGAATACCCGAGGTAATAAAAAAAAATACAAACATGCTCATGTACCACCTAGCAATGACTACAAGAGCGAGCTGAAGGCTGAAACTGAAGCAATGCCCAAAAATGGCCCAAATTGACAGCAAAGTGAGCCCCGTTCGGAACGAAGACCTCAGCAGGCACGGAAACGTTGCTTGCCATTGCCTCAAGAATCTCTGGGGCTCTCTTTAGCTCTTGACCTCAATTTTCAAAAGGTGCTGATATCAACGGACTGCCTGGCTACTGTCAAACACATTAAGGAGCACTACCTGGGCGCTAGTATGGTGGTGGTGGAGGAGATCAAGTCCAAGCTCTTGATGTTCAATTCTTCAGACTTAATTCATGAAACTCATGGCTGTAATAAGGAAGCTCATTCTCTTGCTAAAGCTGCAACTTCCTTCGCCCCGGGACGCCATCTTTGGCTAACGGAAAGACCTGACATAGTTTGTATCCCTTTATCTGTTGAGATTTAATAGAGCTGCTTTAGCCCTAAAAAAAAGCAGGCATGGAAACAGGACAGGAAGTACTACTGGCGTAACAGTCTACACACATGTTTAGTTCAGCAAAGGTTTCAGTAAAAAAGACAGAAGGTGAAGTCAGTTAGGTGTCTCCAGATGGTACACCAGGGAGAGGAGGCTGTGGTGCAATATCAACCAAATCAATATCACTAGATCAATCATGGAGTATATTTTCATATTAGGTTGATATGAATTTGCAGATGTAAACATTTTTCGCGCGCAGAGAAGTATCAGTCTCTTACAAGAACCAGTGCGAAAAGAAATCGCCCATCCATCGTTTCTGGCCACTGAGAGCAAAGTTTCGTTACATCCAGTCGTAGATCAAACAGCAATGCTCTTTTTTTTAGAAGGGCAAAAGACAATGCTCTTAATTGCCAACAACATAACTTGCTTGCCTTTCATCATAACTAAGATGGCCAATGCAGCCCTGGATACAAATTGCAGATGTCAAACATCCTCGTGTATGGTTAACACTGAAATCAACTGCACTGTGATCTTTCTTCCTCAAGCAGAACGATGATCTCATATTGAAAAATATCAACCACTGGAGAGATGCCAAGCCTTGACCAGTTTAACCCCTCACAAGCACAAGGCCCAATTCATTCACTAAGAATTTGCTTTGGGACATGCCAGGGAATGTGAAAGTTGGTGCTCAAGGTTAGCTAATCAAGCAGAGAGAAACCAGCCATTAGCCCAGCACTACCTGGCCACGCAGGCATCCACTTAACTGATGGAGTAATCTGGTGAGAAACATCTCGTCTTTTGGTACATCCTCCTGTATATGGTCGCTCCTTCCAGCTCAGCATGGATTTCCCTCTCTGTCCGTATTCCCATAGGGTTGTCCAGAAGCCAACCTTCGTCGTCACACTGAAGATCTTTATCAATACGATCAGCATGCTCAAACACATCCGCGTATCCATCAAACCTTTCTCTCATGTCTGTAGCTACATCAAGCACATCTGATTGTACAAGCACCTATATCAATGAAATAAAGTGAGATGTCAACTTGCCAAAGAGTACTTGACCTGCCTTTGAATGTTAAACTCCCTACATAATCAACACTAGCCTTTGTCGAAGATAAAGAAAAGGGAATGTCTGAATAGTAATTTTGCACTGGAGCATATTAACTTGTATCACTCTATGACCTATATAATGCATAGAGGCTGGGAAATTATTATCAGAGAAGCAATAATAACTAAGAATATATGTGGTCCAACTGACAACATGAAGGCAAGAATAAGCTTTAAACATACAAATCGAGTGGATAATACATGGCATCTCATAGAGATGTTGAAATTAAGCCAGATATATATGGTTAATATATCCTCAATTGATGTACTTTAGGATCCCTCAAGAACATTATTCTGTAATTAGGACTATTTTTAAATGATAGATGTTTCACGCCTGCAACATGCTTTACCACTTTTTTCTAGGACACTTTTTCAGGGTTCAGTCAATAAAACATCCATCATACCATCATACAGCTAGAACTAACAAAACAGTGACTGGCCAAAGCTAAACAGTCATTGGACAAATCTGATGCATACAGAAGGACCCTGACCCCATGCAGATTGTTAGTTTAACAGAGAATAGTTTGCATGAAAATGGTAGAGAATTGTCATACCCGCCCACCCAGACAAAGGTTCTTTGTGATCGAATCCACCAATGGTGTCTGTAGAACTCTTCTCTTGTGATGCCTTTTCTTAAAGTGAGGATCAGGACACTGCAGAAAAGATGATTGCACCTCAGCTGTCAATTCCATAACATCAACTAAAACAAAAAACTAAGCCAGCATAAGCACAAGGACATATCGTATACAACTTACAACATTTGTGGAACTGTGCTCAGCTACACTCACCAGTATTGAAACAAGCGATAGGGGACCAGGGTATGATAACATAATTTGCTCGAAAGACACCGTTGCATTTGCAAACATAAAGTAACTGTGCCAAGGGAGCAATTTCAAACACTATTAAATTGTTCTGATAGCACGAAGCCCTCAAATGTCCATATGTGAGAAAGATCTGAGGTGCAGCTTACACATTTCTAAGCCCCAATTCTGTTACCCAGAACTGTGTCCGCTCGACCAACTAGACAAGCAAAACAAGCAGAGCATTATGACCACACCAAAAATCACACATTGAGAACCATGATTAAACAAACCATAGAAGCACAAGAACCTTCTGCCGGATTTCCAGTCCGAGGTAATTCCGCCTTTCACCGGAGTTCTTTGCTAACCAAACCAAGAATCTCCCACTCCCTGCACATGAAAAAAAAATCCCCTAATAACTGAGGCTCAAGGAAATCTATCAGCACAATGGGGATGCAATGGAAGGAGACGTATGCCCACCGCAGCCGATGTCGACCATGAGGGGCAGCAGGGGGTCCTCGAACACCTCCGTCCATTCAGGCGGCTCCGTGGGTTCCTGCAGGCAGAACAGAGTAAGAATCGACGGAAGGGGAGGAGGCCGCGCCGGCGTTCGCCGTCGGGATCTTGAAGATTGTGGTACAGGCTTACGACGAACAAGGCGCTGAGCGGATTCACGTGCTGCCGGATGCGAAGGTGATGGCCCCGCTGCATACACCAAAACAGATTGGTGGGCGGTCAGGCTGGTACGCTATTTCGAAAAAGAGACGGAGGTTGAAGACGGGGAGGATAGATGGGGTTGGGGCGGACATTGGGGTAGAGGGGGCGGAGATTGAGGTCCGCGTACTCCCTGTCCACCGCGTCGGTGCTCCGCGCGGCGGAGCACAAGGTCCGGCGCCGAGCGCGGCGACGGACGGGGGGCGCGCGGACGAGGCGGCAGCACAGGGAGGCCGCGGCCGTCCAAGCCATTCTGGCGGCGCTTCCGGCTGGTGCTCCAGCCGCGGCGCTGCCTGTTCGACACCAAATGGGTTATCTTTTTTTTTTAGTCGGCGAAGGGGTTATCAAGGGGTGGAAATGTTCGAGGAAATTCTTTTTAGGAAAACAGAGAGCTTTTTTTTATCGCGTATAAGAGCTATTCTGCTATTGTTACTACTCACACTAGAAGGACTTTTTTTTTGTCAAATACTACCTCCGAACCAAAATATTTAAATCTAGCAAAACGTCTTATATTTTAATACGAATGATGTACATGAAAAATACTAGTCGGTGCACCTGCCAAAAGGAAAGAATCTTCAAGTTTTCTGGCATGAGCTCCCAAAGCGTGTGCCTTCCATTGCTCTTTTTTTTCAAACAAAAGTGCTTAGTTTAGCCTTTTGTTTCCTCTGTGCTGCATCTTCTTTAAAAATTCATCCAATGAAATCCCAACTCCCTTTGTTTTGGATATCCTTTTCTAAACTATACTATGAATCTAATCTTTTAAAAAAAAACTCTTCACTTGAATTTTAGAACTTAGAATTTATTACCCTAGAAAAAAAACCTAATCCTTTGAATCTTTGGTATGCTATCATTCTTCCTCACAACGCAACTCTTGAAGCTGCTAATAACAATTCTGTTATTCCAGTTTCCCCTCTCGCTAGGATCCCTATCCTCTCGGCGCCCTTCATTGACGCCGCGTTGAGTCTCCCTCCTCCAATCCCACGGTTGTCCCTTCACTCGGGGTGAACAAGGGGCACTCTTGTAGTGCTGCCGAGCCTTCGTTTAGGGCTCGTGTGGGTTAGGGTTTCCCCGTGTTTTGTTATGAGGATAGGGATCATGGCGACATAGCCATTGAATTCGGTACGAAAGATCAGGACGATTTGTAAGCGATGATACAGGTGCTTGGCTTGGCTGATGAGGACCTTGATGATGTCGTTTTCGAGTCGAAAGAACCATCACCGACAGAAGCAACTCATGGGCTAGCTATTGCATGAGTAAACACAGATGAAGAGTATTGTAAATTATGATTATATAAAAACATGAGATTGGCATGGGATCTCACTCCAACTCAGGTCATTGGATGAAAATCTATACAAAATGCAACCGGTTTGTCTAATTCACATCTAGATATCTTTTAAGGATGCCACATCTAAGCTCCCACAAATATATAATGCAGCAACAAGAAAAAAAAAACTAGGACAAAAAAAATAGACCACAAACAGAGTGGACATCAGCTTAGATGTGTCCTGGACAGACCCAAATGCAATTGTCTTGCCTAGGGAAATGAGAGAAAGTCGTGAAAAAGGACTTTGGACCAATAGGGGATTTGATGCCATTCTTGTGACATACCGAAAAAGGCTTTCGCCCCACTTTATATATAAAGCAAACCACCACAGCCACAAAGTTCAACATAAGTTCACACACACAGGGTAGCACCACAAGCGGAGAAGCTAATCCGGCTCAGGTGGTGGAGGAGGGAGCGGCGGCGCCAAGCAAAGAGCCATCACGCGAAGGTAGGCAATGATGATGTTGATGGCATCCCGGTCTTGGTGGCGGCTAAGCACCCGCCAAAGCTACAAATAGCCACACATTTTGAACACCGCGTCAATAGCATGTCGACGAGGCACACGCTAGATCACCAGCTTATTTCGAACCGTTCAAAGCGTCCACGCTAGGACCCCAATAGCCAGCCACCTAATGTGGCGGCCCGTTGGAGGCAAGGGCTAGATCTCGGCGAAGAGGTCTGGAAAGTCGGTGTTACACCAACGACCACCAACCACCTTTACAAAATCCACCACAATTGCCTCGAACCATATAAAAATTTGGGTGCAGATACATGATCTACCGGATGGGTTTGCATCAATGCTTAAGTCCCTGATAGTAAAGTGGAAGAGGTTCTATATGCGGAACCATGATCTTACGACTTTTGAGTGGAGCCAATAATGGAATATTGTTTCTAAGGTTATATTCTTGTTACGCGTCTGTCTGCGATTGGGATACATATGTATGACAAGTAGGGGCAAGGAGCGACCCAGTCGACACTTGGAGCGAGCCAAGTGCGACGTCGCAAAAGGTGAAATCGGTGAGGTGTCTCCGTGTGTGGCACCACAAGAAGGAGAGGTGGCTGGTGCAAGGGCAGCCAGTCGAGAGAGGACATGGAAAAGCTAGCAGTTCCTTGAGAACACGTAGAATCTCATCTTGAACCCCTCTCTTTTGTATACTTTGACAACTTGTTGTCTCCTTCTTTGATCGATTATATGCTTGGGTAAATACTACTCCCTTTGAACTAAAATCACGACACTTATTTTGGATCGCAGGAAGTAATAACTGTCTAAACCATTTGCTACTCATCGTGCATGGACTGACTGTTAATACCAGCAGCTTACAAATTTTACAACAGTATAATTAATGGATCTTTCTGCCATTGCAATAGAAAAGCTGGAAAATACATTAGCATGTGCAACTATTGCAATATCATGTGAAACTGCAAAATTTCATTGGAATACATACTTTTTTGCTAGATGTGCAAAAACAACTAATTCAGACCAGTGTAGACTGGAGTTGTCCTATATCAACCCTTTTCTTTCTTTTTCAATGCAAAGGCTTGAAAGAAAACCATTTCTCTTCTAAACAAACTTAAACAGTACAATAGTTATTACCCCTATCAGTTGCAAACATTTTAGAATTTTTTTGAGAGCTCAATAAACATTTTGATTATTTTTTGTTCAACATAGGGTGCATAAAGAAAAAGAATCCTCCTACACCGGGTTATTCGAATATTGCCTGATCCTAGGAGCCGTAAAAATAACTCTTGCTCTGCAAATACTAGGAGAAGCAAATGTAATACTCCCTCCTTCGGAATTACTTGTCGAGAAAATGGATAGAAATATATGTAGATACATCCATTTCCGCGACAAGCAATTCCGGACGGAGGGAATATTTGAAAAGGGTGCATGTTCAACATATATGTGGCTTAACATAAATATTGCTGAAGCGTGCAACGTGGTAAGCTCCATAGAGGCATGCAATCGCTGGCACTAGATAATGCTATGCTGGAGAAAAGAAGAAGAACAAACATTATTAGGTCCATCTTAATTTTGACCACCAAGAGAAGCCTCGTGCCACTGCTCTTCAATGTAAGCCATTGGCGTAAGTACTTAACATGGCATCACTTGGACAACATTGGTTGAGAACTTGAGATACTTAAAAATTTAATATTCAGACCAGCCGACCAAAAGGAGTCAGTACCACATTTGAAGGCAATAGAAACCATGCTAGGAATTACATCAGAGACTGCACCACTTCAAGTCTGTAGCTCCACTACAGTGGCAAAACAACAGGAGGTAGCATAGATTGAAGCCATTAAGCAAGATCCTGAAAGCAGATAGGAGTTGGTCGGCGTGGGAGAGGACGATCTTGTTAATGAGCACCCTTAATCCGCAGATAATCATGTCAACACACTGCTTTGGCCCTGCAGGCAGAGGAGGTAAAACATGACCAGTTTCAGTCATTTACAGATATGAAGGCCCTGTTCGGAGTCACTCCAACTCCTAAAAATACGAGGAGCTGGAGCATCTCTTTCCCAGCTTCGTGCCTTTTGACTCCAGCTTCGGGAGCAAAGTGGTGGAATGGTGGGTCTCCGAACAGGGCTGAAGTCTGTCCTTGTAAATACAGAGAAAAATGCACGAAATAACCAGACTACTGGAGTGCAGGCTAAAATGTTTACAAAGAAAATCTGAGCATATTCAGCCAACTATTGGAGTGCAGGCACACCCAGACTTCAGTGGACTAGAAAAACAGTATAGCATCTGATAAGAAAAACAGTATAGCATCTGACATGTATATCGTGTAGACCAAAGTTGATGGTATGGACGACTTGTATATAAAATAAATGGGTTTTAGTGCCCTTGGCCTGCGTTAAAAGGGAAACTGAACCTAAGAAAAAGAGTAGCATAAAAAACGAAGAACACTGCTGAAGTATGCGGACCATCACAGTGCCGATTTTTCAGCAAACAAAGAAGGCAGAACCAAGCTAAAACTAAGTCAACTTGAACATATATTACCATGTCATTGACACATTTCTACCATTACTGCTTTACTTTAAGATCAAAATAAAGGTACAGGCCTAAATGGTGAGTTTAGACTTATAAACTGTACAACCATAAAACAACATTTTGCAACTATTGAGTATGCTAACCATGCACCATACCTGCTTACCAGATCAGCATTGCATTCGATAGAAGGATATGCCATGAACATGTTGTTTACTTTTGTGCACCAATCGACACTTGGAGTGACACCATCTGACAGCCTCACGGTCACCGTTTTAAGCATTGGAGCACATCTAAATATCACTTTCAAGAAATCAAACTCGTGATCTTCCCCGCCGACGCCTTCAATTTCCATGTTTTCAAGATCAGCCAAGGTGATAGTTTCTGTTCTCCAGTTCTTAGGCTCATCACAGAGGCAATTTACTGGGCATGCATCTTTCACCTAAACGAATGTGAATTACAGAAAGAAATTATGGATGCTCCACTGTTGGGACATTTGTTCAAGAATGTACCTCGAACTTATTGGCTGAACATGTACTGCATATAAATATATATTCCAAATGCATAAGCACAACGTACGATAAATTACCTCTGATCTTAGCAGGACAATCTTAAGGTTCCGTAAAGCTGTACGAATCTGATGCATCCCAAGGAGATGCAGCACAAAAGCTCCAAACACATGGCCCTTGGTGCTGAGATGTAGGTCCAGACCAGAGAAGTTGGTAACCATATGTTTATCGATCTCTGCCTCAAAGCTGAGCTCTGCATTTGGAAAGCTAACTGAATCCTGCAACAACAAACAGTTCGACAAGACATCCCGGATAAGTTCAATCTCGCCGGTAATTGCAATAAATTGAACAAGCAGGAATTTGCTTTATAATATAAAGTGGGGGGAAACCCTTTATCGTAATTGAACAAGCAGGAAAGGAGACATATATACCTGGACGGCAGATATGTGTAGGGACAGGACATGGACGCTAGGGAGCTGCACACAGGCGTCTCTCCCGGAGTGTGTCTCTTGGGTGTTGAAGCCCATCTCTGAGAGGCCCCAAAGACAAAGCCCGTAGATCGGCTTGGCATACGAGCACCGCCACCAGACCTTGTCCAGCATTGGGGCCAAGATGGACACCCCGATGTTGCCGCAGGCATGGAAGGACGCTGTCAATTGCTTAAGCACAGGGGAGTCGACGCTGATGCTGATATGGGTGCGGCCGGTCCATCTGTTGCCGTGCTCCACGACGAGCTCCTCCAGCGACGCGGAGTGGACCGTAATGTTGCTCATGTCTATCAGACCGGTGGTGTTCAGCCGGAGCACGCGCAGGCGCGGGCAGAACGGGATGAAGGTGGCCAGATCGATGTGGCATCCCGAAAGGCAGAGTCTCTCCAGCGAGCGGAAGGGGACATACCAGCCACTGGCCGCACATGGCTTTGCGAACACGGCTAAGTGGAGGGCCCGCGCGCGCAGGTCCATGGAGGTGGCGCGGTGGAAGCTGGGCAGTGTCGCCTCCATGCAGGAGACTTGCAGGTTCCGCGGGAGAGTGAGGCGCAGCTCCACCGGCGAGAGGCTCGCAGCGTCCCGGAGAAACGAGGAGAAGGTCCCGGCGCCGATCATGCCGGCCTGGCCAGCGACGCGGATGTTGAGGTGGTAGATGTACACACCGGGACGAGCGGCGCGGTGGAGCGCGGCCTGGATCGAGCCGAATGGGAGGTCGCGGAGGCTGAGGGTGAGGCTGGGGAGCCGGGTCCAGAGGCCGCGCCACCGGCGGGAGAGGAGGCTGGTGCCCGCGGCGGCGCGGGCGGAGCCAAGACGCTCGAGGATCTCCAGAAGCAGATCCTCCGGGAGGACGCTGATGAGGTCGGCCGGACGTTGGGATCTTTTACTCGACCTCCCCATGGAAAAACCCCGATGCAACTCAAACGGCGGGTAGCAAATAGCAAAGGCAAATGCAAGGGAAGGGGAAGAGGAAGGAAGCGCAAGCGACTGGGCCGATGCGCAGTGGAGAAATAATAAAATAAAAAGAAATTAAGAAATGAGGAAAAAGTCTCTTAGGCAGAGAATGAGCTGCTCGTGGTGGATAAATAATAAAAGAAAAAGATGTTGGATTTTGTTTTCTGTTTTTTACCGGACCTTAGCGAAATGGGCGAAATTCGTCATTTCGGAAAATTTTAGGAGAACTCCGGACGAAAAGAGAAAACCAAAATTTGAAATTTGGAACGAAAAATGGCCGAAATTTGAACGATAATGACAGAAATTTGTCAATCCTATTGAAATCAGGTAGAACAAGACTATTTCACAGAAATTGTGGCCACGCTCGATGTTGTTGGCGCCGCCGCCGGCTCAGTCGACGCCCAAGTGCAGCCTTGACCTCATGTGGCCTCGATCCACAACCGCCGACGACAGGTTCGCCTCATGCATGGGCGCTGTCACGGCCGCGCTCTACAACCTCCATGGGAAGGAGAAGGAGTGCTTGAGCCTTGAGCAGGTGGGTTGTTACTGTGTTGGAGGAGGAGGAGGCTGGGCAGAGGCGAAGGTTGTGTTGACTACAACCACCGCGGAAGGGAACGGAGAGAGGAAACATGAAACTAGGGTTGGGGTTGGTTCAACTTGAGTTTTTATACCAAAAAGAGGTGCGTGGGCTACTTTGGGCCGGGCTCGAAGTTCTTCAAAGGTCGTAATATTTGACTAGGCTATACTCATATCGGACCATGGTGAAAAGGGCGAATTCCGGACGAAATTCGAAGATTCCGGACGAAATCCAAAACCATGCTCTGGCCCCGTTTTGGAGGAAGAAATTAAGAAAGTTATTCTTGAATCCTATATTGATAGAGCCCTGATGGGATCCCTTTCTTTTTCTAGCAACATTTTTCGGAAGCTAATCAAGCATGTATGACCTATTTAGGATGTTTGAAGACTTTCATAAAGTGGAACTCGATATCTTTTAGACTAAATTCTGCCACGTTAACTCTCTGATCTACTATATAAATAGGATGCCTCACTGCTTTGTTTCTCTTGACATGCAAGCTATCTACATCAACAATCATCATGCAGCCATCCATCTCAACAAATCTGCCATGTCAACACATTTTTTCCTTTCATTTTTCTGTATCCTTTCAACCATTCCACATCTTATTTTATATCCCACTATATAATTTTTCTATTTTATCTACGTTTAGCCACCGGCCCGTCCATGAACTGTCACATTTACTCTCTGCTCATGACTTGTCTCCTAGCCAAAATTGCAACCATTGAGTACACATGAAACTGACGAAGACATTCATACTATATTTAAATAGGAGTCCCCCACTATCTTATTTCTCTTGGCATACAAGCTATCCAAATCAGCAATCATCATGCAACCATCGCCGTCAACAAATCTGCCACGTCATCAAGGTTTTTCCTTTTATTTTTCTGTATACTTTCAGCCATTTCATATCTTTTTTTATCCCAGTACCTTATTTTCCTACCTTCTCTACTTTTAGCCACCGGCCCGCCCATGAACTGTCACATTTACTCTCTGCTCATCACTTGTCTCCTGGCCAGAAGTGCAGCCACCGAGTACACATGAAACTGACGAAGGCATTCATATTATATCTAAATAGGAGTCTCCCACTACCTTATTTCTCTTCACATGCAAGCTATCCACATCAGCAATCATCATGCAACCATCGACCTCAACAAATCTGCCACGTCATCAAGTTTTTTCCTTTTATTTTTCTGTATCCTTTTAGTCATTCCACATCTTTTTTATAGCCCACAACCTTATTTTCCTACCTTCTCTACTTTTAGCCAGCGGCTCGCCATGAATTGTCACATTTACTCTTTGCTCATC